ACTTATTCACGTTGTATTTATTCACTTGCTTAATGTAGATATTGTTCAAAATGTTGGCCTCTTGCAGCAATGCAAGCATTGCATCTAGTACGGACAGCTCATGTTGCAGTCAAACACTAATCTGGCGATATTTGGTGCACTGCAGCCTCAATTCGGTTTCTCAATTGTCCTCTTGAGTTGACTGACGACGAATAAACTTCCTGCTTCAGGACCCGCCACAAAAAAGTCCAGTGGTATCAAATTAGGTGATCGGGGTGGCCAAGGTACTACTCCTCCACGTCCAATCCATCGTCATGGATAATGTCTGTCTAGCCAAGCTCGAGTAATTCTGTCATAATAAGTTGAACATCCATTGAGTTGAAACCACATTTCAATCCGTTGCTGCAGGTGGATGTCTTCTAAATAATCAAAGAAATCAGTCTCCAAAAACTCAGTATATCTAGCTGCATTTAATCTGTCGGGTAAAAAAAATAGTCCTACTAGAGAGTCGTTCCAAATTCCAAGCCAAACATTAACAGCAAATTCATGCTGGAACCTACTTTCCTAATCCCAGTCCTGGGATTTTCATGAGCGGCCCATACATGATAATTTCTTTGATTAATAATTCCTCCTCTTGTAAATATAGCTTCGTTCGTCCAGATTATTTTTGATGCAAATGAATTATCATTGTTAAATTGCTCAAGAAACCAATTGCTAAAATCTCTTGAAATAATCCTGAGGTAATAAATTCTGCACTTTTTGAATATGGTACGGATAGCGGTTATCATTTCTTAAAGCTCGGTAGATTCTTTGCCGTGGCAATTGTAATGCAGCTGACGCTCTCCGGACGCTGGTCTCAGGATTGTTATCAAAGTGGTGCAGGACACAATTTTCTATTTACATATTTGCTCCTAACAGATCTTGATGAATTGAAAATAAGCCGGTCTCTCGCAGCCTATTAAAAATCATTGTAATGACTCGCCGATCCGGCACTCTTCTGTTTGGAAATCGGCGTACATACTCTCGCACCGCCTCCGTAGCATTACCGTCGCAGAAATCATACACGAAAACCATGTCAGCATATTCAACGTTAGAATATGAACGCGGCATATTGTGACAGAAGTAATTCACTCGATAGCTTCTGACGAGTACCTAACGAATTTATAGGAGAAAAGCAGAAATGTAAATAAACAAAAAGTTTTCATCTGAAAACGGAATTATTATTATTATTGTTTTCGTGCACGATTTCAGCGACGATAATACTGCAGATGCAGGAACGAAACAACTATGTTTTATCTTTTTTGCGATTTTCTCCAAAACAAAGCAAAAACGAGCATATCTCTACAAGACTTTTTTTCTTAGTTTATCGATCCTCTACACGCTCCCGAAGTTTAGACATTTAAATTCGGGACACCCTGTGATAGAATGAAGCGCGTGAGCGCCGAAACCGTACGCAATCTAGAATTCTGGATATTAATCTTTTGAAGACCGGCGCTTTCTAACAAAGTATAACTTATAGAAAATCTTACTTTCTAAGAGTTTTTTGGGTCGCTAAATCCAATTGGCGATTCTAATCTAAGATTAAAAAATTCAAAATAATGGATTTAATACGGCAAATTAAAAAAAATCTAATTATATGTATATTTCAAAACTCTGTTTTTTTTTAACGATTCTTGAGATCGATGAATCTGATTTTGGAGGTTGATTGTATCTTGAAATGAGATAAAAATTACAAAAGTGAGCAAATTCATTAGATATTTACCAATGAACTGAAATATAATTATAATAAATTATAAATATTTATTATAGATAATGATAATAATAATAAATTGTAAATATTTATTATAAATAATTAATATTCTAGTGATTTTACTTATTTTTGTAATTTTTAACTTCCTTCCAAGATATAATCGATTTTCTTGTCTCAGAATTCAGAAATTCCAAATAGTGGATCCAATGTGGGGAACCAAATTTTTAAAAAATCTGATTATCACACAAAACCTCGTTTCAGCTAGGGACTTTTTACTTCAGTGTAACATCAAATTTCCAGTTGCGCTTTATTTGAAGCTCATTATTATAGATATCAAGAAAATTTGCATTTAAAAAATGTTTTATATGAATATCGTATAGATCTCTGAATTAATTTTTGCATAAAATTGAACGAAATTGTATTGTTAAAGTACATTTTATACTTTTATAGAGCCCTATTTTAGGAACTCGATTCAGAAAATCGTTCCACTAGAATACGGAAAGATCTCATTGTACTGCGCCTTTTAACATAGAAGATATACATAGAAGTTACCAATATTAGAGGTGCAGTTGAGTTTGATTATTATATATATTAATAAAAGAATAAAGAATCAATGTTATTTAAATTTTTTCATTTTATTTTCAAAGTTTGTAATTGGAGGAATGAAAAAAAATATTTTAAGAAGATTATAGTATCATCAGTTGTATATATGTACACAAAATTAAATATAACTACATACTTAATGTATATGTCAGTAATATGATCTTTCATCCTATGAAATATTAGTACATTTTACTTCATTCTATAAAACAGATGATGCCATCCCGTAAAAAATGTTTGTTTACACACACGCACGCACGCACGCACGCACGCACATTCCAGCTTAATTTATATAATTTATGAGCATAAGAATATGTACATTATATATATTTATTTGATGTGCTGTATGTATTAAAATTAAATTATAGTTTATAAGTTTGTATGTAATTATTAGTAACTATATGTATATGAGTTAATAAAGTTTTATTTGCTAATTTGCTGTGCGCACAAACACATTTACGTTCCCTTTAATTAAAAAGATGTAAAACTCAATCAGGAATCTGAATATCTTTCAACTTTTGTACACGCAAAATATCGAATTTTTTTAACTTTATTGGATATCTTATTTATGATCTAGGATATCAGTATTTCAAGATGCAATCCTAAATGTATACAAGTATTTTAAGAAATAAAACTTGCAATTGCCACTTTTTAATATTTATTTACATAAATATCAAAATAAATAATCGATTTACGTATTCGTGAAAAAGTAAATTCCGTCGATGCAAAAATAATCGTAATGATTGTCAACTATGTACTTTTTACATTAATTATATGATTACAAAACTCGATATTTATTTGAATAAGAAAAATAAAAATTTTATTCCTTCGCACCGTTCTGTTCACGCAATTAATTCTTTTCAATGTAAACAATGTTTTATAATATTCTTACATGGCATTATATTTCAATATTATAATTTATGTTTGCATAAGAAATTGTGTGATTTTTTTTAACGTTTTACAGTTCACTAGCATGAGCGAAGCATGTTTTACATTAATTGTTAACTGCGCATACAATTGTATGTGTGAAATGGAGTTTGTATATATTATTGTATATAAGAGATCCTCGATGAGAATATGCTTGTGACAGATTTGCGCGTACTTGAGATTGACAAGACAGAAAAAAAAAATGTAATGTGAGTGCATATTGCTGCTGATTGCATATTGCTTGCTTACCTGTCACCTGTCATCACTTGATAGGCAAGTTAATTTTTCAGCAATAGCAACAATAGCAATGTATCATCGCCTCCACCGTTGAAACTAGAGCGACCGCGTTCCTTAAGTCTCTACTCTGAAGAGGAGCAGAAGCAACGTAGTCTTGAGATGAACACCGTTCCGACGCCTGTCGTGCCGGATAATCAAACCAAGTCGTTCGTCCCTGTCCTGTTGGAAGCTGAAAAAACGGAAAAAAATGTGAAACCGTCACCGTCGTGCAGTCAGGAAGTGGCCACTGGTACTAATCAACACGGCCACTTGGATCTTAAGTTCTACCATTCCCCTTTATGGTGAAGATCTGACTGATACACAGTTATTTTCTTCGTTGTTTTTCTAAAGAATTTAGGAGCAATTCAACCATGCAAAGTTAACGCTAAATTTGATTTTTCTTTCTTTTCTTTGTATACATAGATAGGATTATAAATCTAGGAGCAAAAAGTACATAGTCGCTAACTCACAGTTGAAGTATTGACAAGAGAAGTTTCACAACTGTCCGGAACCAATTTGATTTTCCATGAAATATGTTGTAAAACACGAAAATCTAAGAGACACGTATTTTTTCATTTGCGCTAACTCATGTTTAAGGGGTGAAACACCCCTTTGAAAAAAAACGGTATTTTTATTTCGAGCCGAATACCGTCGGAAGTATAAAAGATGGAAAAAAATTTTTTTAAACAAAAGTTGTACGGTTTCAAGAGTACTTCAATGTTATGAAGAAAAAAAATTAAAAAAATTTTTTTGTTTAACGATTGTTAACAAAAAAATTAAAAAAATTTTTTTTCTTCACAACATTGAAGTACTCTTGAAACCGTACAACTTTTGTTTAAAAAAATTTTTTTTTGGTTTAAAAAATTTGTTTCCATCTTTTATACTTCCGACGGTATTCGACTCGAAATAGAAATACCGTTTTTTTTCAAATGGGTGTTTCATCCCTTAAACATGAGTTAGCGCACGTATAAAAAAATACGTGTCTCTTAGATTTTCGTGTTTTACAACATATTTCATGGAGAATCAAATAGGTTCCGGACATGTTGTGAAACTTCCCTTGTGAGATAGACAATTTATAACTTTTTTCTATTTCCTTTTTGTATATTAATATAATAGAAGTATTTCTCTAGTTTTTTTTTATTATAAGATTGTAGCGGTATCATAAATATGGAATCTGACGCAAAAGTAAGCAATATTGCAATGTCCACATTAAAAAAATCGTGTTAAATATTTAATTTTGCTTTATCGCTGTTTTTCTTTAAATAAATATTAATAAAATAATATCATAGGATAAACACAGGTAATAAATATAAAATTTCCATAAGAACCAAACAAGTCCAGAGATTTTTAATTTTTTTTTAAATGTCCTAAATCTTAATCAAAGCTTAAAATTTTGCATTATACTTACTATATATCTAGAAAAAAATGTATTTCTACAATCATTTAATATCATTCGTGCAATGAAAATGAGAAGTTGTTTGTTTCTTCAAAATTTAATTTTCTGGACTTGTTTAGTTTTTGTGAAAAACTCTTCAAATATATCATGTATTCATGAAAAAAAGAAAAAAGAATACTATACATTCTTGAAAGCACAAGAATAAAGATGTACTCGCAGTTTGTACTTAAGTCAATCTATTTATAAAAATTTCTCCATGGATACATTTCGGCGAACGGCGTTGTTGCAACCTTCTTTATATTTGTACCATATTCCATGTTTTGTTAAAATATTTTTCATCAGAGAATATTTTTCTTGTGATTTCGGGGATATACGATTCATTATTTTATTCTGTTTTTGACCATTTTTATTTTCATTCGTAATGATATTTCCGAAAAAGTCTTTGTATACCTGAAAAATTGTTGAGTATAAAGAGATTGACAATAAAAAGAAAAACGCATAAAACTTACTATTTCTTTTAAAGATGTCGCATTTTTTCTGGATTGTTTCGTGTTATTCTCAACATTGGAAGATATATTCTGAACATTTTCTACAGTTTCCGGATTTCCTGATTTTGCCATGTTTTCCGAGTTAACTCCGAGTCCTGTTAAGATACTCGCACGCTTTAAACGTTCGACCTCCAACTCTTGTGTGATTATCTGTTGTACTGCGTATGCGAGACTTCGATGCGCATTGCAATTAAGAAAAACGCCGATTTCCAAAATATTACTAAAAAAAAAATATGTTTGTATTATTCTAACTAGGATGTCAAACGTGTGTTAATAATATCATTATTATAACATACGGGTCTAAATTGTAGATGTATCCTCTTTGAAAATTTTTCTCCTGCACGAACGATAAACCAAATTCAAGCATCACATTTATTATTCTGGCAAGATCAGACTTCTCTTTTGACGAATATAAATGGGAAGGAACTGTGCGCAATTTGGGCGTTAGAATGTCCGGCAAAAAACCAGCAATATCTGTAGTTAGAGTGAAAACATCACGTCCGCATACTCTTCGTACTGCTGTTAAAATACCTGTGTTCTTTGCCGATTTTTGAGTTACCTAAAAGAATGACAAGGATAATGAAACATTTAAAAAAATTGTTAAAGGATTATCGTACAATATCTATTGTACCAAATAAATTACAATATTTATATAAAAATACATATGTATATTATATGTATATACAATGAATCTTACACGTTAATACCTCAAAGGATGAATTTAGATAATCATTTCATCACTTGATCAATATCAATTTCATCACTTGATCATTTTTTGTAATCGTATCTTCATTCTTTTATGCACAGAATAATTTGAATCAATTGATGTAAAAAAACATAGTTGCTTTAAGAAAAAAAAATGTAGTTACACATTGTAAATTGCATAATTTTTTAAAAAAGTAATTATGTGTTTTCTCTTTTCTCTAATTAATTTATTTCATTATTTTATAAATAAAAGTATTAAGATACAATTGCCAAAAAATTAATAATTTACAAGATGCTTTATATTTTATATCAAAATTGAGCAAAATAAAATACAGAGGAACTTTATTATGTAAAAAAGAATCATATAACTTTCATAATTATAAAAAAAATCGATTTAGGAACATTTTTTAACATTAACATTTGTATGTGAGTGTAAAATACTTACTTCGTTGGTAACAGTGGGATATGATATTTTCATTTTCTGTGTTCGTGCAAGATACAAGTGCCATGCAATAAATCCATAATTTGTGTAGGGCATAAGTGACCAAATCTGCTTGTGTGCAATAAGCGATATTACTAAATCATAAAATTGAAACCATTCCAGAGACATAGGTACGTTATTAAGTTTCCGGTCACAGATTTCAGGATAATTATGAAATATTCCTTGTGTCAACTTATCCGTTTCACCTAAATAAATAAATAAATAAATATTTAAAAATATCTCTATATACATATATATATATTGTATATATAATGTTAAACTTCTCAATATAGAAAGATTGTAAAGGATTGCATTAAAGTGTGTAAACAATTTATGTATACAATTATAAAATTACCATTTTGCACAGTCTTCAAAATATTCTGAATTCTTTCAGAAATATTAAGCACTCCCTCTTTGTTCATAGGAATCGTTAATATACTTCTCCATGAATCAAATAAATTCTTACGAGTATCTTTTAGACCTAGAGATAAATTATCTTTCAAATTAGAGCTACCCATATATTGTAATGCTCCTATGCAAGCTCGAACATCACAACCGGATCTTTCCGCTATTTTTACAAGATCATTAAAGTCTACATTTAATTTTTCCTTTCTCGCTAAATCCATTAGACGTTCTGCTAATCTTAAAGGACTTACTTCCTGTATTGGAATTATTACAGAGACGGCTCTTAACGCTCTATAAATATAAAAATTAGATTTTTTAACTCAGGTATCATATGTTAATATTTTTATTATATATTATTTGATGCGTTTAATTAAAATTACCTTAACGATGGAGCATATGGTTCATTACAAATACATATTACAGGACGTGTACAGCCATCAGACATATTTTCTGATTGTTCTTTTTTCTTTTTCTTTTTCGTTATTAATTTGCCTTGAGTAAATTTTAATAAAAGTTCGATAGATGCAGCCGGTGCACCATCAATCTCATCAAAAATTAAACAATTCGGTCGGGGATCAGCCCCCATCACAGCTTTCATTTCTGTTGATGCAAGGAGAATCTGTCTAAATAAAAATATATAATGCAATTTTCAATTGCATTACTAATGTGATATGAGTGTTGTATATATTACCTAAATGTATCAGGAGTTCTTTCATCACTTGCATTGACTTCTACGACATTATAACCAGCATGTCTGGCTGCTATATGTGCTAAAGTCGTTTTTCCCAATCCAGGTGGACCACTAAGTAAGGCTATCCTCTTTATTGGATATCCTTTACTATCCACTTCCTCAATGTCTTTTTTGTCATCAATGTTATTCTTTTTTCCAAAATTAGGCAACTTTTTTTTTGGTTTTATAACATTTTTTTTAAATACTACTTTATCCCAAAGTTTCAACCAATGTAATAATTGTCTGTTAACGGTTTCATCTGATAATAACTCTATATATGATCGAGGTCGATATTTATCGACCCACAATTCATCGTTAATTATATTTGTTGTATCACATAAAGATAACGGTTGCCTAGATAAATCCTGTTTTCTTGCCATCTATAATATGACATCACATTAATATTATAATAAAAATGTAATATACAGAAAATTGAGAAATATATATATATATATAGACATACGATTTCTTTAGCCTGAATTTTCAATTGTTTATAAGGCACTGAAGACAAATTAGCAATTGGACTTGTAGACTGCTTGATATTATTCTGTTGGTTTCTGACTCTAATATATAAACGCTGAGAATCATACGATCTTGTGACAGCCACAAAATTCCATGATGGAACTCGTAAAGAAATAGAGTTTTTCTTGCTGTATTAAACACAGAAATAATATGGATGTAACATATTGTAAATATTACAATTTCTATCATACAAATCATTTCAAATTATTAATTATTCACTTATTGTAACTTATCTTCATTGGTGTATTTTCATTTTCATGCAGCAACTGTCTAACATCCAAGATTTTCTTAATGACTTTTTTAGGTTGATCCCATCGAAGTTTCTTTTCTTTTGGCTCTTCTATAATATTGGCATCATAAGTGTCAATTAGAAACAAAGATTTTATAATAATTATCCCAAAAATAAAATCATCTGTTATTGATTAGTTATCAATTGATTACCTGGGATATCCATGTCTAACAAATTAGAGCTGTCACTAAGAAATTCTTCGCAATTACGTTTTTTACTACTACTAGGTATACTATCACAATATTTTTCATAACTATGTGTTTTATTATTACTAGTTATGTTATTGATTTTATCAGCATTAACAGGTACAGGAATTTCAACATTTGATTGATGTTTATTGTCATTAGCTGTCCAAGATATTCCACTAGTACTAGGACCAGGATCAGATTGCGACAATAAATGGTTTTTATTATTGTTAGTCATGTTGTTGACTTTATCAACATTATCAGGTGCAGAAATTTCAACATTTGCTTGATGTTTATTATTATTAACTATCCAAGATGTTCCACTATTACTAGGACTGGGATCAGATTGCGGCAATTGTCTTTTCTCAAATAGTTCACCTTCAAGCGAATTAGTTAATTATTATTTGTTTGACAAGATGCAATAAATAGAAAGCAAAATATAAAGAAAACATTCAAATGAGATTTCAAGTATCAATTTATTTCTCAACTTGTTTCTCTTCGTTTTAATTCTGATTCAAAAATATTCAAGAGTCATATTATATTTACCTTCTAGTTCTCTCAAAGCTTCATAGTCTGCCTTATGAATAAGGTCGAATTCTTCGTTCATATCCAAATCTGGGTATTCGTCAGTCATCCTGTTACTCAACGTGAATTAATCTTGCGATGTAAATTCCAAATATTCCCCAATTCCAATTTTAAGGCCTCTTTCACCAACTTTTGGGATTAGGTTAATCGATGATCACAAGCATCACAGTAAGCTGCTTTTTCATGCGAGCGTTGAAAAACTGGCGTTTATCCCCACTCCGTCACAATTCAAATCCAGCCGAATCCAGCGTTGAAAAGCTAAAGCTATCGCTTGCTTCTTTTTCATGGAGCGTTTCTTCGCTGACTTTAGTTTTTAAAAGCTAAAAATCGATATTGGGAGTTATATTGCGTGTACACAATAAACATTACAATTAATTTAAAAAAAGAACTAAAAAGGTAAACATTTGTAATGTTTTACTATGAAAAATGGATTACAATAGTCAATATATCGCGTATATAGAAGAATATAGACGTATAGTAACAGCAACAGTAATAGCTACAGTTGCAACAGAGGTTAGAAGACGACGCGCAGCTGTTATAATTGCTATGAGTTCACTAAAAAAGAAAAAATGTACAAAAAGAAGAAATATTGGATAGCACCTATTTTCGAAAATCGTTCCGAACATAGTTTTTTCTTTGCTTCGGTTCCAAAGTTGGTTTTGGAGGACATACGATTCCATACAAATTACTTTCGAATGAGTGCAACTCAATTAGAAGAACTGTTGGGCATGATCGGATCAAAATTACAGAAACAGGACGTTGTTCGACAATCCATAACACCAGCTGAACGCGATTGGCATTAACATTAAGGTTTATTTGGTTTTTCATTATAGCAAAATAATATTATAATATAATAATATACATTTTGCTTAACGTATGAATTGTTATATGTATGTATAATTATTACATTACATATGGAATATTATAGATATCTTGCTTCCGGAGACTCCATGACATCGATGGCTTACCAATATCTCGTGGGAGTAACAACAACGAGTAATATCATTCACGAAACTTGTACAGCAATATGGGATTATTTGAGCCTTGTAGTTCTCCCAGGTAAACTTAAAAAAAAAGATTGGCTGGATATAGCAAATGATTTTGAAAATAAATGAAATTTCGCTCATTGTATTGGAGCCATTGATAGAAAGCATGTCATCATTCAAGTACGTAAAGTTATAGTTAAGGTCTAGTCTACAACCAGTCGGGAGACATTAGGGAGTTTTTGCAATACCGTTTATAAAGTCACGTTATTATCCTTTTCTTAATTAGGTGTAAAGAAAAAGATAACGTGACTTTAGCATTCACCATATCTGGGATAAGTCCGCATCTACAATAGGTGTTTTAAGATTTAAGCCGTAAGAAATTGACCAATTACAGTCGAATCCGAGGGGAATAATCGACTGTGATTCGCCCATTTCTTATGGCTTAAGGCTTAAAACCCTATTGTAGATCTGGGATAAACGGTATTGCAAAAACTCCCTGTTGTCATATGTCGTGCCGTAAAAAATTGACCAATCACAGTTGAATATGAAAAAAACAATCGACTATGATTGGTTAATTTCTTATGGTATGACATACAACAACGTCTCCCAACTGATCGTAGACTAGGCCTAAGTATAACATAATTTAAAAAGAAGTATAATTTGAAGTAATAAATTCTTTGTTTTAGTCCCAATAATATTGGCTCAACATATTTTAATTACAAATATTCTCATAGTATAGTTTTAATGGCTATCTATAATGTGAATTATATAATTCGGTTTGCGGATATTGGGGCATATGGACGAAGCGTATTTTCAAAGACAGCATCATAGGGAAAGCATTTGACGAAGAATATTCCACAGCCAATAGCGATTGGAGAAAGAGGACCTGTTCTGCCGTACTGTCTTGTTGGAGATGAAGCTTTCCCTCTAAAACCACATTTGCTTCGTCCATATCCTGGTAGAGATGGACTCACACGAGAACAGAGCATATACAGGGTGATCCGAAATTTCCGCATTTGGAGTACAGGACATAATACTTTATGCTAAAACGAACAACTTTTTCCTTTAGCAAAATTGTATTCGATAAGTAGTTTTTACAGAACAGGTTGAAGTTAATAAGCACAAAAATTATTTATCGGGTGCAATTTTGTTAAAGGAAAAAGTTGTTTGTTTTAACACAAAAAACAACTTTTTCCTTTAGCAAAATTGTATTCGATAAGTAGTTTTTACAGAACAGGTTGAAGTTAATAAGCACAAAAATTATTTATCGGGTGCAATTTTGTTAAAGGAAAAAGTTGTTTGTTTTAGCATAAAGTATCATGTTTTTTCCTTCAAATGCGGGAATTTCGGATCACCCTGTATAATTATCGTCTCAGTCGTGCGAGACGAATGATCGAAAATACATTTGGTATACTGGCTAGTATACCAAATGTATTTTCTGGCGGTGGAGAATATATAGGAAACCTATCATCGCCAGTCCTGAAAACGCAAAAGTAATGGTTTCAGCAACCATTTGTCTACATAATTGGCTTCGCCAACAGGACCGTGACATATATATGCCGCCGACTTTGGTTAATATTGACGAATCAAACAGTTTCAAACCAGGATCTTGGCGAACAGTAATTGAAAATGGTTGCGCATTAAAAAGTATTTCTAAGTGTGGATCAAATATGAGTACAAAACAATGTATAGAAATAAGAAATAAATTTTATTATTTTAATAATGAGGGAGCGGTACAATGGCAAAACGATATAAATATCTAAAATATAAAAACTGGTTTTCTAAATACCTTTATATTTATATATCAAAAATAAAAATAAAATATGTAACAATAAAATAAATTATAGAAATCAACGCTTAAACAGTCTAGAGCTGGATCTTAATTGCTTATATGATTCCGTGTGAATTTATATATACGTATGTAGTCCTTTAAAATAAATGTAATAATAAAATAAAATAAAATAAAATATATAATACAATATTAATTATAAAATAAATATAATAAAAATGAAATAAATGTTATAATAAAATATGTTTAAATATTATTTTGTCACTTAACGGTACTAATAATCTGCAGCACTTTTATCATTATATCATCCACAAATTGTGGAGGAACCTCTCGAAGTTGGTCTATAAGATTGCCAAACAAACTGGCTTTATCCATAGATGGTGGAGGAACAATTGGTGGGATGTTAACTATAACTGGTTGTTTGAGAACATCAGCAAGTCGTTCAATAGTTTCCTCATGGTCTGAACTACTCAGATGCTTATTACCTACAAACAATTAAAATTTTGTATTTTCTATCAAAATGATGTCAAAAAATTCATGACTATCAGTAAATGTATAACGTCCAAAAAAATTATTGTTTATTTCTTACCCGTCATAATAAGATATCGTAAAATTAACTTATGCGATCCACGACCACTGCTGCTACTTGTGCTATCAAAGACAGTATCGTCATTAAATTGATCGGAATTATGGTCCTCAACTACTGAGATATTTGTTATATGTAGTTCTGTAACATAGTTTTGATTTAAATTTGCACGTAATAAATGTAAACAAAAATGTATTGCATTAAGTTACATTTGTATACTAAGTTTATACATACGTACTCGCTTTCAAGTTGTACATCGCTAAGAAACTGCATCCGTTCATAGTGCACCCAGCTATTTTTGCGTGATATCCTTGCTGAGCCACTTGGTTGATGCTGTTTATTTTTATGATGAACTCTAAAAGTATCGCTCAATGATTTCCATCTTTTTTTATAGTTATAACGTCCATTTTACCTAGAAAAGAAAAAAATACATTTAATATGAACGAATTTTAATCTAAAATCATGATTATTTAAACATTACCATCCATTGATGCAGATATTTCTTCCCATAGCATTTTTTTTATTTGTAGGCTTTGTTGAACAAGAGGAAGCTTAAAATTTCATAATGGAGGACGTTTGCGAACTTCTTCTATTAAATGTTCCTCGTCCACAATTTTTTTATTTCGCCAATTAATTGCAACATCAGTCTTGGTCACTTTCCATAACGATGGTCTCTGTATTATCCACCAAACTTTTACGAATAATTTGTCCATCATCTGCAAATTCATTTACTCAAGAAACACACCAAGTCAATAGAGAGTAAAAATGACTTTATTTTGATCATTCAATCATTTCAAATCAAAATAAAATCCTTTTAATTTTGTATTAACTTTGGTGTCTTTTTAGACATTAATGTTACTTACAAAATATGTAATAAAAAATGTGTATCACTAATATTCACCGGTTTGAGGATAAAAATATAAATTTTCATCTACACAGTAAGTTATAATCCTGCATACAAGGATGACAATGCATTTCTGCCTCAACACAAATAGTTTCGCACACACCACAGGTGTACGACATTACTAAAGCTTCCTACAATATAAGAAATATAAATTAACACAATATAATAAATAAATCAATGTAACATAATTAAATTATTAATAACAATGAGTCTCAAAATTCAAAAACAATAGAAACTAAATAGGTTACAAGTCTAAGCTAGGATGTAAGTTACTCTTTAATATAATCAAAATATAAAATACAAGTCAAACGTTTCTACCCTTATCGGGTCATCCTTAGTGTAAACAATATTTAAACACATAAGTACGATTAAATATCAGAATTAAAATATTTTATACAAAATCTTAATTTAGAATTTGCATATTTAACGTAATAATTTCACTAAAAATAAATTCATCTTGTTATCCTGAGATATTATGAATCTATATGTCAACTAATACTGTTTTTTTTTCTTTTTAATCTATTTTCAAGAGTGGATAGAAGTAAAAACTTTATAAAAATAATAAGAAGTACCCTCACAAAATTAATGATATTATAATAATCAGGGTGAGCTTCCTAACTTTCGGAATAATTAATTATAATTTCAAAAATTTTTTGATACATTAGTTTTACATTTCCTTTATTTCGAGATTTTCAAAATTTCTTTCCTTTTTTTCTTCATTGCATTCTTATCTGGATTTAATTCTGGCATTTATACTCTCGAGGTGGGGAAGATCACCATGACTAGTTAATAATTGTTATATTCTATATATGTGAGTTTATTAGTTGTCTCTGAAGAAGGCTCAAAAATGAACCGAAACATGTAAGCGCTTTAGTAAAATAAAAAAGTTTTATGCTACGATAGTTGTGTTATTTGCGCAACGTCTCCCGCGCTTGACTCCTATTGCCCTTGTTCTTTCCTTGTTTTCTGATTAATGATATTAGAGTTAAAGATTAATAATTTTTTCATTGTCCTCACCCTGCCAAGATATGAACCGTATTGATCATAACGATCCATGTTTTGGCAGAGTGAGGATAATGAGAAAATTATTAATCTTTA